CTTCACTTTGAAGCATGAAAGTATTATTTATCTTTTGCTACTCTAAGGAGTGGCTACACACAATACACTTAGTGGGCATTGTTGCCTGTTTAATGTTCAAACAAAAAAAAAAAGTTAGTTTCTTTGTGTGACTGTGCTGCACTGAGTTGCCTGCTGGGACTCGGGCTCCTGTGTGGTGGATTTGGTGTGTGCACATAGAGAGCATGTGGTGACATGGCTCCAAGCAGCCACTGAATGAGGCTTTTGGGGCCACCTTGAATTTTTAGTAGGGAGGCTGTTGAGTTAATTTGCTTCGGACTTTTGGGAAACTTTGTAGAGCTCAGAACTGTCTCACAAGTGATAATTCAGCACCATCCTCACCAGATGTCCCTTTTGCACAGGTCATCTAGTTGCTGTGTGCTATGGAGCAACCACAGCCTATCTATACTTTATTGTTCTTCCTGGCCGTGTTCAGGTAGGGACAGTGCACAGTTGCTTGGAAGTCACTCCACAGGGATATCCAGGATACCAGACAGGGAAGGTGCTTGAGCAGGAACTGTAATAACTAAGACATGGCAACAGCAGAGATTCATCTGTGTCCACCTGGGGAAGGACTTTCCACTCTGTGGGGAAAGGAGGCCCTATCTCTGTAGCTGCAGAGCAAGGAGAACCCTGGGGAGCAGGCATGGTGCTAGAGTGCTCCTCCCTGCCTCCCCTTCCAGGCCAGGCTTTGTGGCAAGGGCTCTGCAGGTCCCGCATTTGTCTGAATGTGGCACCACGGAAATTTTAGTGCAACTGTAACTGGAGGGTTTGTGACTGCTGTCACTGTAATTATCTGTCTGGTCAATAAAATGAAGGGTACTGAGTGCCGGCAGTTTGGGGGAATGAAGACTGACTTAATTACAGCAACCAAATCTCTCACATCTCTCCCGTCCACTGAAACATCAGCCGCCTTCATGTGCTGCCCTTTAACAGAGCTGCCTATCATGCATCTAAACAAACAAGTAGGGAAGACAGAGGGGAGATTGTTTGTCAGGGATGTGTCTTTGCGAGGGAGGAGCAGCAATATCTGCAGGAGGGACTGAGGTGAAACCCAACATCAAAGGCAAGAGGCTGTCAGCACATTTAACTTTACAGAAAACCTTCTCCTAATAAAAAAGGAATGACCTCATTACTACGGACACTAAGAGTTCCCAGGGGAACACCAGGAGACTGCTGCCTGCACTTTTAATATTCACTTTACAAACAAATGAGAAACCTTGAAATAATTTCGGTGTTGTTCTTGGCAAGTTGTTACAATACTGTGTCCTTATAAAAATCATTTAAGAATTTATGTAGTGTGAGTCTACTTTTCATCTGCTGCTTTTTGTTGCTATCAACCTCCCTCCCTCTCGCTGCTCCAGTCCTGTGGGAAAGACCAAGATGCCCGTGGAGTGAGATGCCAGTCGCCTCAGCGGGTTCGTCAGGAGGCACTGTTTAGCTTGGCTCTGACTGCTGAGAGAGAGTACCCATTTCTGGAGGAGATGTTTGAAAACTCTATCTGGACCTGGGCCACAGAGAGCAAGCAAAGTCCTATCAGGAGGGTGAAGGGCAGGGGAAGCTTGGAGCTGGCCACAGAACTGGGGTAGGTGTGCAGAGGGGAGAGTGGAGCCAGTGGAAGCTGGAAGAACCCTGGCTGTGGCAGCCCAGGATGCAGCCTTGGTGTGGAAGTGGTGTGAGGATGCAGTTTGGGCTAGTTCAGAGCTCTTCTCCTCTCGGCTTCTCCTGGCAGGAGTCACCATAGGCAATAATGCCAGGAAAGCTAGCGTGGAACAAATCTGTCTCTTCCAAGCCTCTGTGAAAGCATCAGGGAGACAGAGAAAATGCTGCTGCAAACTGGAAGAATACATGCAAAGTGTGAGGCTGTTCAGTCAGCCAAATATCTCTGCAAATTACATGAATGGTTTCTTTTCATGGGCTAGGCTTTCTCCTCAAATTACCACAGTTTGAGTGACCAGAAATCTTCCCCAGTGTTTCCTTGGTCTTATATTTGCTGTGTGGTACCTGAGGGAGGTTTGCAGAAATGGTTTCATTGACTCTCAGTGGGGAAAAATACTTGGTACTGGAAATAAGCCCTTACAGATGATGCCTCAAGCTATTCAGTAGCAGTCCACAAACTCTCACCTGCACTTAACTGGTGTGCAGCCTGGGGAGTACCCCTTCCTCTCCTGGCATCTGCCCATGTGTATATGCAGTGTCAGGCACACCCCAATACACCCATGAAAATGTAAATGTGCATACATATATGTAATTTAACTCCCATGTGCCTATCCACAAACGCACACCAAAGAGCTTGCTTCTGTGCCCCTCAGTATGTTCCTCCTGCTCATATAGGGCCATCCATCCCTTGTGCAGATTTGCTGCCAATTCTGACAGTCACATGCAACACAGTTTTATGCCTTGGGTTCATCCTCTGTACAGCCAGCCATGACACTAAACTGTGGGAAAAGCAGCTCATACTTGATTATCTGTTATTCACTTTACCTGTTTCTCTAGATACTACTTAGCATCACTTCATCCCAGACTTAGTTTGTCTGCGCTTGGGTTTTTTTGACTACTGCTGCAACGCAAAAGGCAAGTACCTGCTGTTCCTCTGGGCTGTCTAACAGAAGGATAAAGTACAAAAGATGAAAATGTAATGATGGTGAGTAGCTTGTGGGAATGACACCATTCACTGGTACTCTAGGTATCAAAGTACTCACTAACGAGCAATTTACAAAAGACACTGTTGAGTCATTTTGAAGGAAATCACTGAGTGCTGTGAGCAGGAGAGTGCAGACAGCTTCATGCAAGCGTGAGCTATTGCCCAGGAGCTGCCGATTGCAGTTGTGAGCTATGCAAGAACTGCAGGCAGCTCTTTCCACTTCCACACTCTCCTCTGTGGATGTCTGGGAGCAGATGTTCGTTCACCCTCTGCAGAATCCTACCAGTTGCCCACATCATGTGGGCAGAGCTAAGGCCACACAGAGGTCTAAGCAAACTGGCATCCCTGTCTTCTACACCCAGGAAATGGTGAGGCATCTTTCCTTGTACCAGCTGAATATCTCTAATAGGCATGTGGATCTAGCATTTTATTTTCCTTATCTTCTTTCTTCCCAAATATTAGAGTGGTAATGGACAAAATCTGCTCTGACAGTTTTACATTGTCAATTTGTCATTGAAAACCTTGACTAAATGGTTCCTTTCAAGTGCAGAAAAGATGCTCTTTAAAGCATAGCAATAAGATTCAGGCAAACTCTGTTCAATTGCTACTTCTTTGAAACCCAAATTTCACATAGAGTGGAGCTGGAAGTTCTATGTGCTTTGTAAAGATCTTAGAAATCTGTGTACCAACCACTACAGGAAAAGGCAGATATGAATACAGAAAGATGGGCCAGATTTCTCTTTGCTTGAATGATGTAAATAAACTGTTCTGGGTGAGTGTGAAGGGAGTTGTCCTGTGTCAAACTTCAGAGACAGTGATATGAATCACTGAAATGCTGTTTTGCAAAGGTCCTAGGCACTTCTGTGAAGTTGTACTTCACTGGGGTTTTCTCTTGACTTGTTTTGGCATGTTTGCTTATTCTTATTATCTGATATGGCTATTCTTATTATCTGTTATGGCAAGATTAATCTAAGTACTAACAGAAATTTGAAGATGTTAATTAAAAAGGAAGATACACCAAAGCACAAGTGCTCATTTGTGCACACGCCCACATATTTGTAAATAATGCCACATGTGCTGGTGGTAATTTTGTCTTTGGTGGGACACATCATCACAGCTCAACCTGCAGGTTCACATTATAGCCAGCAAGTGAAAAGTAGGATGATGGTCTTCCAAAGACCATCCTCATCAACTTCACTGAACTCCCAGATAGACTTTTACATGCACACCCTTATAGCACCTTCCAGTACCTAAAGGAGCCTACAGGAAAGCTGGAGACAGGCCTTTTACAAGAGTATGTAGTGATAAGACAAGGGCAAATGGCTTCATACTAAAAGATGACAGGTTTAGATTAGATATTAGGGAGAAATTCTTTACTATGAGGATGGTGAGACACTGGAACAGGTTGCCCAGAGAAACGGTCGCAGTCTCATCCCTGGAATTGTTCAAGACTGGGTTGGATGGGCCTTTGAGCAACCTGGTCTAGTGCAAGGTGTCTGTGCCCATGGCAGGGCGGTTGGAACTAGATGATCTTTAAGTTCCCTTCCAACCCAAACCATCCTATGATTCTGTGATCTAATCTTGAGCAAAGATACAGCTAGGCAGTGAATTAAAAACTAGCCAGATATGAGTCCAGAAAGTGCAAGTGCAAGTGGTCATACAAAAGTCCAAATGCTAGACTATAAGGAAGGTTGTAACTAGTGGTTCAAAGAGAACCAGTAGGAAATCTGGGGTCCCTGTGTGGCTCTGACACAGACTTCCTTTATGTCCTTGCCTCATTCACTTAATTTAGCAATTCTCCAGCTAAGGCAAGGAGACAATAGTACCTCCTTAATGGTCTTATGAAGGTCTCTTGAGACTGTGGAGAGAGAGAACTTGACTCCCTCTGTGTTTATATACTCCTGAGCAAAAGGGATTCCAGGTTATAAATGCCTGGGTCTGCTGCTGCTCCCCAAAGTAATTATATCAAATATATGGACCAACAGTAAAACTTCACAATGTTTTCCCATTTGGGGTTAAAGGATGTATTTCATTCGACAACCTGGAATGTAAAGTATGGGTATAGTTTTGAGCTCTCGTTTCTTGTTTTGGTTTGTTTTGTTTGGGTTTTTTTCTGCTTTTGGTCAATGAAGTAAAATTCAAAGTGCTTACCCCCTTCTTGTTTTAAATCAAGAGGGTATCCCTTTAAGAAACAATAAACAGCTCATTCAAATTTTCTTCTGTATCATTTTTGTGTCTTTCTTCCTCTATCCAAATGGTTGCAGTTCAGTCACACACCTGGCAGAAGTTCTTTAGCCGTGTCAGCTGCAATTTTCCAGAGAAACCTCTTTGCTGGATAATTCCTCGTGAGGTTGGAGGAGAGGACAGGTTTGTGTAGCTGTCTGCATTGGAGGGTAATATTGCCCTCTTCCTGTGATCGTCTGTTGACTTTTGGAGTGTGGGACACTGAATAACCCAGCAGAGAGATATCACCTGTGAGCAAGGAGGTAAGAGATGATGTTGGTGAGATGATGTTATTCTCTGGACAATTCTTCTGCCTTTCTAGGTGGGACAGTGTGGCCTCTTTAACCCCATCACTGGATCAGTGCTCTGAAATTACACTAGTGTAATCATCCCACCTGAATTAAGCAAGTAACTCCTGGCTTCTGACTCCACAATCCAGCCTTGGGCATCCCCTCTTAGCCTGATGCCTGCATCCCCCTCTTCCTCCCTCTCCCTTGAAGCCCCCTGCTTGTGGGCTCCTTGATATTTTCCAGTCCTTCCCTAATGAGCACTGCAGAATTACAGCTAATTAAGGATGTAAATGATGCTGGAGAGGGAGAGAGAGGGAGAGGATGGGAAAGGGCGGGGGGGAGGGCAGCTACTTGCTGTGTGCAACTCTGCAGTAAAGTGTCTCCTACCTCAGCAGAAAAGTTATCACGGGAGACAATGTCAACTTTATGGAGGTGGGGAGGGCCCTTTGCGTGGCTTCATCCCTGCCTGCAATAGCTGCTGCCTCTCTTTTATGTGTCAGCACTGCAGATGCTGAAGTCCTCCCTCCCAAATGCTGCTTTGTCAGCTGGTGCTGTCATCGAGCCCTGGTCTCCTTCTCTGGAACTTGTCACCACCCTCATCCATGTGTCGCCTGGGGGGTGAAGGGCTCAGAAGACCTCAAAACCTTCCTGTTCTCTGGGTGAGCAACCTGTTGTGTCCCTCTTGCTTGCAAAGGGATTTTGGGTGAGGTCCACCTCCAGATTTAGAAAGGACACCGTTGTTCAGGAGGGGAGTGGATTTTGGCCACTTCTCCTAGGCACCGGGGCACCTGCCTTTCTGGGCTGCCACCTGCCAGTGCTGGTCCTCAGCCACTGCTCCCCAGGGCAGGATTAGGGCTAAGTCCCTTATCTCTGCAGTGGTGGCTGGTGACTGGGACAACACACCTTGCGGGGTGACACATGCTGGTGGCTGGAGCGACAGCTCGGGCCACACGACCCTGAGATATGTGGTTGCTCATATGTGTGAACTGATCGGGTTTGCTTTAGGAAATGCTCCTGAAGGGAGCAGTGGGGGTACTGGAGAAAAGAAGGGTTCATCCAGCAAGGGGTTGCAAGCCCTCCACCCCACCAGCAGCCTTGGCTGGCAGCTCCTGCCTCTGCCAGGGAGCCAAGAGTCAGCTGTCTGGCAGCCCTGCATCGGGGAGAGATGGTTCTGCTGGCTCTGAACAGCTGTTTGAACCCATTCCAGTCTCTCTGGGTCCTCCCGAGTACGTTTCCAAGCACTCTGGGTCCCTGTTGGCGTATTTCTCTGCACATTGCCCAGATCAATGAATTGCGAAGGGAGACTTGCCCCAGCCCCACAGCCAGTCCGTCTGTCTGTCCCCTGCCTGGCTGAAGCAGGAATGCCCACCCCGGGTCAAGGGGAGATGGCATTGGGTGGCAGCAACGGTGGTGGTGGGTTTTGTTGTTGTTTCCCTAGAGCACTGTGCAATATATTCTGATTTTTTTTCTTGTCATTAAGCCAGTGCCTCGGAGATGATGATGTAGTCCCTATGTGGGCCGCAGAAAGCACTTCGAGCCGTGCTGGAGTCGTGCTGGGTGGCTCTGATAGCAGAGCTAATGGGAGCGAATGGGATGCAACGAACTGTTCTAATGACACCAGCCAGGGAAGAGACAACAGTAAGAATAAATAAATGTTAACTATTTTCCTCTTCCAGACATTTGCATCTATTGCCATTAAGTTCATTTAAATAAGAGAGAGAGCGAGAGAGAAGGGGAAACTTACTACTACTCTTAATAACAAGTGTCTAAAAATAAATTAGGATGCTGGGATGCACTTAAGGCATTTTAAAAATAAGTCTGATTTCTTCCCCCTTTCCTCTTTTTTTTCCAAGTTGGAGGGTTTTAATTTGGGCCAAGTAATTTTGGTGCAAACGCTTGGGCGCCTTTCGTTGGGAAATTGGGAGGAATGCAAACAAGATTTCACTTCATTAAACAGGGGCAAACAGTAGAGAAATTGCACTTACTTATGGAAATGACTTTTAAACATGAACAGCATTTACTTGCATTGCCTTGTGCTGATTTTTTTTTTTTAAAAGATTATACATGTGAATAATTCACTGCGGGCCAATTAGATGATGATTTCATTTTTAACCTCTCTTCCTTGCCATCTTGCTGGCTGTCCCTTTCATTGCAATTTCCACCCTCTTCCTTCCTTTTAATAAATTAATAAAGATCAAATAATCCCTCTCCCTGTGGTGCCAAGAGCTAGCTTCTTTGAAAGGGTGTAAGGTGAGAAATCAGAGGATCACCGTCTCTGCTAAACTGCCCTGTGATGCAGCAGAAATAACTCCATGGGATTTCTAGAAGCAGAACTGCACCCGTGTGTTCAGGAATAAGGAGTGGGAGGAATGAAAAATGGACAGGAATGAAAGGTGGAGACAGACAAAAAAGATCTCCATACTGTCTGCATGCAGAATGAGGTGCTGGAGAGAGGCTGAGCAAGCAGGATTTACCCTCTGTGAGGCTCCATTGATGCTGACAGGATCACACCAGCGTGAGTTTACTCTGACCAGGCTAAAAGCAGCACTCGGATGGGTGGCTCCATGGCATTACAGGGGATAGAATGGTGCCCTGAAACTCTTCATCATCCCTGGGCCCAGATGCAGGCCAAAAAGATGTGAGGCCACTGTTTGAACCAGGGAAGAATGGCCTGGGATGGGAGAAGAAGCCAGAGGAAGATATTTTTGACTTTTGCCGGGGCCTGTCTCAAGTGGACCTTACAGCAAGTGGATAGAGAGAGAGTTCTCCATGGGGCCTCCGTGTTTTTCCCCATCTAACAGATGTTAGAGATTCTTGCTGTTACTAATGCGTGTGTCAGGGCTTTTCCAAACTTCCTGTGGAAAGCAGTCTGTGGGATTTCATGACAGCAGGATCTGCCAAAACTTTCAGGGTGCTGGGAAGGAGTTCCAGAAGAGACTGGCTCCCTCTGGTCTCAACTTTGCTGCTTCTGCATTTCATCAGATGCCTGCCAGCTTAAAAGCAGCATTGGGAGACTCTGTCCATGCAGACCCCAGTCATGCTTGTAGGAAGGCAAAACAGGTTTTTTTCCCAAATATTTAACTCCTGGAGCTCTTTACAGTAATTAAAGTATGTAATACAGAGCCTTAAAGCCTCTAAAACATAATAAAAATATATGTAATTAATTAATTGTAAAAAATCAGCCAATCTACCTGTTTCATTTCTTACTTGACTTTTACCTGTGTTTCTTATCTAGCTCTTAGGTCTCATTCATACATATGACCCACTCTACATCAAATGTGACTGCTGTCTTCCTTTCATCTGCCCCAAAATGAAGGAGAAACTTTGGTACCTTCCCAGTGAAACTTCCAGTCCCCTGTCACTGCCAGGACAAGGGTAAATTGGAATATCTTCTCTCCCTGCATCACCCACAGCACACCTCTTTTCTTAGCTAAGCAAGAGGCTTTTCCCTGGTGCCAGTGGAGTCACACTGCAGAAGAGTCACTGCTCTGTGGGGTGAGTGTCAATCCTGTGCCAGTCCTGTGGGGTGAGTGTCTGTCCTGTCTTCTCCTCCTTACAGGTGGGAAAACAGAGGCATGGAGCAGGTAGGACACCTTTTTGCTCCTGTATACCCTGGCCAAGCGTAGTCAGCAGTGGGAGAGCTGGGACCCCAGTCAGAAGCAGGACTGTCCATAATTTAATTTCTTGTTCAGCTCTCATTTAAAAGTTTATTTTAATGAAAAAGGTCTTCCTGAGAAGGTCCCCACCACATGACTGGTAGATGTCACAGCACCATGTCACCACTTTCTTCACCCCTGTCTCTGCTGTCTCTGAAGCCTTCGCCATCTTCCTCCAGGAACTCCTTTCTTGCACTGTCCCAGCCTCATCCCTCCAAACTGCTTCCCAGGATGTTTTGTTGTCATTTTGGCAGTGTTTGCTTTCTTAACAGATCAGATTCCCAGCCCTTCTGTGCTTCAGTGTTTTTATGGCTCTTCACTGGTTACAGTTTTAGGGGGGAGGAGGTGACTGCAAGCAATGACCTGTGATTTCCAGGGAAGGGGAGAGCAAGGAAACTTCAAGCAGCATGGCCTCCTGCTGGGAGCAGTCCCTTTTAGAGCCCTTGTGTCAATTATGGCTTTCAGAGACACTTCCCTACTCTATTTGTTTACCCTGGGGAAGCTCAGCATGCCCGTTCAGGGCTGAAGGCATGCAAATTCACTCTCGAGGCAATGGCACAAAAGGTCTTTCAGTCTAGGCTTGAGAACTTTGCATTGCCTATTTCTGATTCAACCTACAACACCAGGACCTAAGCTCCATGAAATAGGTTCTCCTTTCCCTAGTGAAAAGGCTTTCACTTTCAGGCTCCTCTGCAGTTCTGTTGTACCTGGCATCCTCCAGCTGAGGCTGGAGTTGAGGAACACAGAGACAGCCGTGAGCCCATGTTAACAACAGTCAGTGATGCCATAGCTCTGCGCCTGATGCTGCTGACCGTAGTGTTGGGTACAGGACATTTTCTAGCCCCAGAGGACTGTTCCTGACAGCTATTCCAAACAAATTCCAGCATAGACTCTTTAATCCTGGAATATCCACACTTGGAGTTATTAGGAGACATCTTCCTGAGAAGCTTTGTGGAGAGATAAGCCCAGAAACACCAGCTATGAAACAGCATGTTGTGTGCTGAGCTCTCTCTGCAGGAGAGGTGTTTCCATCTGCTACACAACTCTTGAATTCAAGAATAGGACCCTACGGGCTGTTTGGTACCTCTGTTGACCTCAGCAGGCTTACCACCAGGGACAAGTTTAGCTCTATGCACTCATTTAACCTGCTTCCCCTGAGGTACCTGTGAGGCCGAGAGCTGTGTGAGGTGGACACCCTCAGCAGTGGCACTTCAGCTGCAGCACTTCACAATGGGCACTCTCTTGATGATCTGCTTGTGCAGCACTTGGAACTGGGGGACAGTAGTGGGTCCTAGCCAACCCCCCATGTCCACAAGAGCCATGGGGATCATCTACAGGCAAGGCAAGGCAAGCCAAAGCAAGGCAAGTTCTCTGTTCTCTGTGCAGTCAAGAAGTCTTGGGCTTCAGAGGTTATTGGTGTATCTGACACTGAAATGAGCTTTGTTCTTTTCTTCGGCCTCCTAATGACAGACGCTGTCTTTGGGCACTGAATTAACAACGTCAGGTAGAGATGAGGAAGCGTCAGACATTGTTATTGACATTCCTGCTGGCACCTTCCCTTCAGATACTGCATCCCTGGGGGCTGGAGAGTGCAGGGCTGGGCTCCCTGGACAAGGGTCAGAGAAGATGCTGGACTGAGGCCTCTCAGAAAGATTTCTACCTACAGCTGCATTTTTTGAGAAGAAAATCCACCCTTGTTTCCCATATGGGCTCTACAGAGAAGTAGCAGCAGTGGTGGAGCGCTGATGACATTGGAGAGCTGCTAGTTATGCTGCCAAATACCATCAGGTCTTGAAAGGTAACTTGGCAGCATCCCCTGGGTGACTTATATGTTTCTTTTCTAAGCCCAGCAGGTGTAAGCCTTGAAGTGGGGTAAGCACATCCATTTCACCTCATCATTGGTGGAAGCCGTATGATTAAGAACTGGCTGAAACATGACATTTTCCACACTGAACTCCAAATGATGTTCAGTTTGGGCAGAACAGGGACAGTTTCCTCTCACCAAAATTTGTATAAGAGTGTATTTTTGATAACAAATGAAAAATCCTTCATTAAACAGAAAAGCCCCTTTTATTTAGCTTTAAAAAGAATTTGAACTATTGATAGGTAAGAAAAAATTAATCTGGACATCTTTTCTGATTTATTGTGTTTAAAATATAAATGCAGAGGATGTTTCTGGAAATTATCTTCCATTGGAGAAAAACTGAAGTCTTACAGGGCTATGTAATAAAGCAGAAATATTTAAAGCAAAGAGCAAAAAAACCCACAATGTTTCTGAAAGAGTTTTGGAAGGAAACATGGAAAGCATAAATTGGTAAATGTAGAAATCCTCTCCTGCCTTTCAATTCTCAAAATCTAGAGCAGGGAGACTTTGGATATCAGCAACTTGTTGCTTTATAGAAATGATAAAGCCACACTGGTACTGTGCCCTCATAATGTGTATCAATTCACATTAGAGAAGCATACAGACTTTAAAAAATGCATTTTGTCTTCTCTTTCTTCTCCTCCTTCCCAAAGACAGATCAATTTCTTTGTCTGCTTTGCACAAGTGTGAGGACACCAAGACACGGAGATGGGAGTGGTCTTGCCCAAGGTCACACTGCAAACAAATTGTCATGGCAAGAGTCACTCATCAGTTGCTGTGAGGAACAGCAGAGGAAAATGTGGTCCAGCCTCATATGTTCCACTATCATCATGGCACTGTGTTTCAGATCCACTCTGTGAGTATCAAATTGTCTTGCCATCTCTGACAAGCAGACAAACAGAGAAAGAGGCTGGTCCAAAATGACTTCTGCTGCTTGCAAAGGGAGAAACTTGGGGTGTCACTGGTTGGAGATACCCCAAATTTCTGAGAAGATTTGTGCCACAAATTGTGGCACATGCATCATGTGGCTGTTTTTTCCTGATTTTGGGGTCATGTGCAAGGAAATAAGTAAATGGTACGGAAGCCAACAGGAAAAGAACAGTT